AATTACAATGCTACGGACTTGTAAGACGGAGAAAACACATGCGGGAATCGCGAATATTTCAAATTCAATTTTCGAATAGTAAAAGGATGCTCGATAGTTCGATTCAAAATTTTTTCATACCAAGTTCGAATTTCGAACCGAACATTATTACTAGAGTTCGTTTCGGTATCCGAATAGTTCAACCTACTTTATAGTTTATACTTATGATTAATTAATATTTTTGAATACATCAAATCTTTAAAATATAAATACCTACTTACATCATGTTTTTGTTTATGAAGTCAAAGGGGTGGAGAAATGCGATCTCGCCGAGCAATTTGCTATATGTGCTTTTAAGGAATYGCCAGCAGTAAGTATAAGAACATCAAGTATGCCTCTGAATAGGTATATTAATTTGATTTTAGACATAGACTTATGTATTATTGTTTTTTACTTAGCTGAAAGAACGGATGACCACGTTATTGGAGATGTTAGTGAAGATGAAACCAAAATCGAAATAAATCCCTGCAGTCACCCATACTAATTTGTCCACTTTCAAATCTGTTTTCTTTAATAACATTATATAGACCTACCTATAGGTAAATACTGTTAATACTTACAAGACCAATTATAATTATATTTAATAATTTAGATTTTCGATTTACCTATAAGATTAAATAAACATGCAATTTCAATAAATTATTTACGTATGTGTTTTTCGTAAAAACATTTAACAATGCTTATTGATGAGTAAATTGATAACATATTTCAAAATAAGTACCTATGAATTATACATTATATTATTGTATTGGCAATCGGCATTGTGTCTGTATGGTTCGTATTTTTTTAACCAAATTGTTTAAGCTGTTGAGTTGATTGAAAAGATCGGTAAAACTGAAAAAATAAAGTGTACCTATACAATCAGAATTCCGAAGAACTATAATTAACCAGCTACATAGTAATTCAGGTATATGTATAGCAAAACGAACAGGATTTTTAAATTTTTTTGTGTCGAAGGCTTTGATCCACATTTAGAAACAGTAAAAATGGATTGTTATTCGTTATTCAACAACTAAATCTTTTTTAGTATCAAAGTGTATTTAGTAGGTAGTAATCAATTTTCATAATTAGGATGAAAAAAAAACTGGAATTTTTACCTGAAACTAGTTTTTGACAAAACCAATCTTATTATTTTGCAGTAAATCACAAAACGAATAAACTAATACATGACATTTTCATAAAACGTTTATTGTTTATACTACTTTTTCTATACATAATTTTAAAAATATTTTTGAATTTTTCCCTTAAAGGTTGATAATAAATGTATCCTCGGTTAAAAAGCTAGAAAGTGTAATATACATTTCCACATTAGTAATTAGTTTAAAAAATATACTTTAACATGTTTGTTTTACAAAAGTTAGAAGATTACATTTTTACAAAATTAGTCAAAACAACAATTTCAGTGAAACATTTATAACATTTTCAATTTGTATAGCTTTAGTTAAAAATTTTGTTCAAGGTTCCTTGTAAGTAGTTCATACTAAACTCAAAAATCTAAAACACATAATATAAGCACAACTATTGCGTAAATATGGCGGGGAAATAAGAAAACATCAGTTGATTAAGGAATGTTACAAAAATAATAACAGTWTTATAAGATTTTAATTTTTAGATTGGTTTGTACATGTTTATTAAAATCAATTAAACTAACTCATCTATAAGTACAGTAAGACTTTTATATTTTTTTTTTAAACAGAGAACAAAATATGAAACCTTGGTATTAAAATTAAAAAAAAAAATCATTGACCAACCAATATTAACATAAAAAAAATTTATACAGCATGGTGTAATTTAATTAAGTTTATTAAAAATAGAAATCATAGGTATTCTACAAATTGATAAGACATAATTAAAAATATAATAAATATTTTAATAAAATAAAATAAAATAATGTAGGTATATAATTATAGAATACCAAAAGTAGGGCATTCTATAAATATTTATATCTAGGGTTTTGAGCATTACTGCTGGGTGACTTCTCTCATATCTCCTATATATCTTCAGGACTTCCACTGTCTTTGTATAAATTGTGTAATAAATTATGCATATGTGTTTATTGTAAATAACACTACAATTTGTGTATATTCCAATAAATTTTAAAATATGTATATTTTGAGTGACCGGATATAAAATACTTATATACATGATTAATTATACACTTATGCATGATTAATCCATATTTACTTWAATAAAACATTTATTTTTAATAGAATACCATAATATCATCTTTTATTAGAAAAAATAGACTTTCTAAGTACTAACATAGATATATTAATATAGGTATTTGAACTAAACCGCTATAGAACTTGATGCATTTTTGGTGTCTATTACTGGAATTGTAATTTTTTTTTGTAGGTAAATATAAAAATGGACATATTTAAAAAAAAGATCAATTAAGCATCCCAACAGCCTATATCAGGACACTAGGACCTACTTTCAAAAAAATACGTAACTTTTTCCGAACAGCCTATTTATATTCAATATTCATTACCTWCTCATAAGTAATTTTTAAATAAACATTTTTGATTGATTAAGGATTTTAGAACATTAAAACCAAAAAATATTAGGTTATCTATTTTTTACTCAGGAATAATAAATTATAATTAAAAATAACAATTCAAAACTTATTATTTAATATAAATATTATTATCACATTTATTAATATAAACATATTCCAAGGATATCAATATACTTGTCTTTAAAATTAATCATTTCTCAATGATAAATCTTCACACTAAATTACCTAGTCAAATATGATTTCTGAGAATTTCTAATAAAAATCCATATACTTTACTACTTAAAATCAAAATTAGAATTTGGTATACTTTTATAAAAATATGTTAACACCCACTAATTACATATCATTTGCTTAGATGATAAGAAAAAAACATACAATAGATACAAACAATTTATAGTACATTATTTATAGACACAATTTTCTTAAGTACGACAGTGTAAATCTTTTTCAAATCTGTCATCAAAAAATGTACTATTTAAAAGTGACAAAGCGTTCAATTGATTTTCATCACATATTTTAGCAAAGCATTTAAATTTATTTTTTAAAACCATTAATGCTACTTCTGGTGCTAATACAGTGTATACATATTTAACGCTCTAAATAAAACAAATTAAAAAGTATATCATTAGTGATTATGTAATCAACCCTTTGACTACTATTGTCAAATTTATGCTTTCTTTTTATTTACAGAGGAAACCTCCAATCAAAAAACAAATAACCGAAAGAGTGAATTTGATGCAGTAGAGCCATGTACAATCATATTTTAATGCAGTAGTCAAAGGGTTAATAATATCAATATAAATTTCATATAAATTTACTCACTGCAAATTCATGAGGAGGGATATTTAATACTTCCCTTATTTGAGAATATATCCAAACTTTCTGAACGGGATTAAATATTGTTCTTAACAAAAGTTTAGCTACATATATATGATACTAAAAATAAAAATAAAACATTTAAAGTAATTATAATTATAATGGACCCAAATTAAAAATTATAGGATTATGAATGAAAAGGCTTTGAGCTCACTTTGAATATTCATAATTAGTTTTAATTAAGGAATAGAAATACCAAAGTAAATTTTTATCTATAACAATTGATTGGCTTTTAGAATACATGGGTATCACAATTTCTGAAAACAGTACTTAACATAACTAAAGGTGGGCTTCTAATTTTTTAGAATCTCAAAATTGAATTTCTTTAATTAACTAACTTAAAAGTTAAAAGCTATAAACGATTCAAAAATGTAAACCATTACAATAAAAATAAATAAATTTACAAAATGGGAAAGTTGTTCAAACTAAAATTAGTAAAAAACTCAAATGTTTTCAAGTTTTATCCGAAAATATAAAAATATAATACAGAAAAAGTACATACTTTCAGTATAAAAAAAATCACAATAGTATGGATGTGACTTGTACATTTCTACACAAAAGTTTAGAAATCATAACAGATGATGCACCCATACTAATGATAATTTACTACACAAGCAATTACACAGCTTATATAGTACACATATTGTCCAATTGTCCATATTGAACTCTTTAAAAATGTAATGTTTGCGATCCCCCTAAATCCATTCTAACTATTTACCTAATTTATATTTTGTTTTTAGTGTATGTCTCTTGATCAATTTATGTGTATGGTAACAATTTAAAAAAAAGATTACAGTATAGAAGATATATAATTTGATTTTAATAAATTTGTAGACTAATGAAATGTATGTAACAATATTTATAAAAAAAGTTGTTAGTGATGTACCAGTATGCTGATAGAATAAATAAATGTAAAATATAGGGTTCAGTTAGCAAGATCCTAAATTTTAAGATGTTGTACCTGCATGTGTTGTCTCTGTGTTACGAACACATAATATATCAAAATGTACGTCCAACAGTTTCAACTGTGTTGTTAGCACAAATATTAAAGTGAATTAACCGAATATCAAACTTAAATGTAATRGCATTAACTATATTCTCTTGTGGGTTTTTCATATTTTATTTTTTAGTGAGTTATGTAAAATATCAATATCATAATTCACTTAAAAATTAAAATATAATAAAAACCAACAAGAAACCACAGATGATTGACTTGMATTTAAATATTATAATAGGACAAATAACTAATATTCAAGCTAATAACACAAAATTTAAACTTCTGATACACTGACATGTTATGCGTTAGTAAGATGGAGACAACATATTATGCGGGTACAATTTTCTCTTAATCAAATTTATATACCATAAAAATTATAAAATTTACCCGATCTGGACGACGTTTTGCTATTCGTATTAATTCAAACTTATTTTGTTTTATAATCCTTTGAAATGTTGGGAGTTTTAATTCACGTATTACTTTATAACTACACAAAAATTAAAATACAAATTATGATTATTTATATTATATATATTTAATGGCAATTAAATWAAATAAATTTATTGATACAATTCTTACACATGATCAAGAGATATTTCTGAATTTGGTTTTTTTTTGGTTTGTTTTAATTCTTTTGATTGTTCTATAATGATAAAAAATCACATAAAATTGATTAATATTAAAAAGTATTTTGATAGGTAATTAAAAATATATTCCACTTAATTATGTTTATTGTCATTTGAAGTTATGTATTAAATTACCTTTTGTTATTGTTTCTTTATTCTCTTTTGGTATTATACTATAACCTTAAATTATATAAAAAAAAATATTTTATTAATAGGTAGTTTATTTCTTAGATTATATACAATGGATGGAGGTGATGGAGCTAAGCGTGTATTGCTCAYATACTGAGCTTTGTCCAACATAACCCCCTACCACCCATTTCATATTAGAGAGTAACGCATTATTGTGCATGCGTTACGTCTACAATCATTATAAAATATCTAATAAATGGTAAGTTATGTTGGACATAGCAAATAACTAAAATAGTTTTGTTGTATAAGATCTAAAGTTTATTTAATATATTTGTATTTTTACAATATATTCTTACTTAAATAATCAGGTTTTCCAGTATCATCATCTATTTCGCAGTCAACAATTGGTCCAACGCCTTATAAAATAAATAAATAAATAAATAATAGAATAATGAAAAGCTGAACAAAATTGTTTATAAATAATATATTCTTACCATACGGCAAAAATGGCCTTTTCTCAGGTGATGATCTAGATTTTTTTACATATGCTACAAAATAAATATATTAATCAAGATTGTCATCTGGATAAATGAAAACTTAATTATGTATGGTACCTTACATAATTCATTATGTCATATTTTTTAATATTTTTTTGAAGTTTTTAAGTTATAAATGCTTTTTTTGAGAAAGCATTTATATCCGAGCCCTACTTATTAGTATTTGCTATTATTTACTTTTAAATTATTTGTACAAGAATAGCAAAAGGAATTGAATATTTTTATTTTTATTTTTTTAAAGCAATAATCAATTTTAGATCTTATTAAGAATAGTCACTTTTCTATTGACAATAGATTGAAAATAAAAAATAAATTACGAACATTTTTGTGAATAGCCAATATCAGTAATAGCAAACAATTCAAAAGTTAAAAATTGCCAATATTAATATTTTACCCATTTTTTATTAGTAATTATTTTTTAATCTGATGAAAATGATAGGTTGAATCATTTTAATCACTTAATTAAATTTAATATTTGTATAGACCTGATTATAATTAATTAGTTACCTAACCCTAATATCAACTAAATATCAATTAGGTATTTATTATAACAGTGAGGATTAAAGAATAACAATATTTATTTTTTTATTTTATGTTAGTACCTATGATATAATATAATTAAGTTATTATATAATATTATAGTTATCCATATAATTATTGATATGTATTAATTTATTTCTTAAAAATATAAACCTGAATATCTGACCACATGTTCACCAATTTCAGGATCTGCATCCCAATTGGAAATAGAAACTTTATTCACCATAATTATCTTAATATATAGAACCTAATTGAAACAAAGTACAAAAACAAAATATAATAAAATAACATATGTTTTTAATATTCATATAAACAGATAGTTTGTTTATAAAGTGTATTATATATATATATATATATATATATATCACTACATCATACTTAAGAGGACACTACACCCGGATACGTTGTCTTCGTCTTACAAACACATAACATAGCAAATTGTATGCTCAGCAGATCACGTATAGCTCCGTCAGTATAAAATTTAGAGTAAATTGACCTCTTACAAAAATTAAAGGTAACATTATTATCGAGGGCATCTCGTAGGCTTTTTATTATATTTTAAAGGGAGTTATGTGTATTTTAAAATTGCAAATTGTTTGTATATCTTAAAATACACATAACTCCCTTTAAAATTAAAATATAATAAAAAGCCTACGAGATGCCCTCAATAATAATGTTACCTTTAATTTTTGTAAGAGGTCAATTTACTCTWAATTTTATACTGACGGAGCTATACGTGATCTGCTGAGCATACAATTTGCTATGTTATGGGTTTGTAAGACGAAGACAACGTATCCGGGTGTAGTGTCCTCTTAAGCAACGAATATGGYAATAAATATCAAAGATTTTATGGAAACTTCAAAGTTCAAATAATATAATGCTGTTTTACAAGTTAGAACATTAGATCATTAGAAATTTTCTTTTTTATTAAATGAAATGTACCCTCCGCGACATAAGCCATTGGGTTCATTATAAATTATTCTAACATGATCTATACTAATCGTAATAAAATCAAAGTAATATTACAAATGTAAAGCAAAACAATATGAGTAACTGTATTGTGTTATTTACAATAACCTTCTGGAGGGTGATAAAAGAAAAAAAAATTGGTACATTAGATGTAGGTTTAGTGAGCAGTTTCCCTGCGTTCCTTTATTCTTTTTTTTTTACATTTATGTATTTATGTAAGGTGCAATTATATAGTATTGTTTTAACATGAAATATTTAATGGTTTAAACATACCATTTGGTACTTGTCTTACAATTTTTCATTTTTAAATTCTTTATTTMATTTTTATTTTTTATTATAAGCTACTAGTATAACTATAATTGACATTTACAATGAGAAAAAAAATACAAGATATTTCATTTTTTATATTTCAAAATAATTCTTTAGGGTTTCAGGGCTATTTTATCTAGCACTTTTTCTATATCCACATGGAAATCATGATGGATAGGTACTAAGAATTGCTAAACCACTTAGTATATTCAATCTAAGTTGAAAAAAATAAAATTTACCTAACTTAGTGATAATAAMATAAATTATAGTGAGGCGAACTTTGTATTCTAATGAAATATAATAAATAGAATGGCTGAATATACATGACATCTAAGAATATAAAAGTGAACACTGAACTTAGAACAAAAACAYACTGAAATTGAATAAAAATGGAAAAAAGCCTTTGAAGGTGATACTTATATAAACTAAATCGTCCAACGTAAATACACTACTGGCWACATAGTTAATAAGGAAATAAATATTCAAGTAAAATTGTTTAAAAAATTCTGAGTAAAATACAAGATTTCTAAAAATATTATGAGATATTTGAATGCTGAAGTATTGTGATCTGCAATTATTTTAATATTAAATTTCTTAATAAGGTTACATTCTCATACATTYCTGTTTTAAGTTTTTGGTATAACAATCATTAATCATGCATGTGGCATTGTTGTTTAGATACTCAAATATTTACTTTTATGTCATAGGACACAGAGAAATTAAACCACTATACTGCCATTGTAAGCGAAAACGCCGTAAGTCACCATAGAACAATTTTGAGAAAAATGTGTTTTTGTATAGATTGGATAATACAATTTACGGTTTTTTAGTAATTTTATTATTACTTGCATTATACGTTTATTAATTATTTATTATTATATGTATAATATACGTTTACAGCATATTTATATACATGAACCGAATTTTACAATTATTTATCTGTTTTTACCTAATTTTTAATTTTTTTGAGATTTACGGCGATTTTACTTACGACAGTAGTATAGATATATTTTCTTTAATTATAGAGTATTGTTATTATTTCCACCACAAATAAAATTCAACAATATTTCAAATTTTTCACTAAATTAATAATGCCTTTCCTTCCCTCTGTACTAAAATTAAATTATACTTGATGTAACAATCTTTTGATGAAAAATAATGACAAAAAACTTACTTTTTAGAGATAACAGACGAAGATTGTGAGGTGCTTGGGAACTCAGCCCTCCCCACAAAAAAATACAAAAATACAATAAATAATATTGAAAACTTTTCAAAATTATTGAACATTTATCAAAGACTTCTTAATTAGTAGAGAAAGATTTACAATTTCCCTAAAATGCAATCAAATCTTAGCCTATGGATAATCCAATTAATTTAATTTAATTTTTAACTTCCTTCTATAAACCGAACATTAGAAGTTATAACAACAGTTTTATTCCAGTAAATAATGCATATAAAGATACAAAAATACAAGTCAACCCAAGAGACTTTCTATAAGAGGATGTCAGCGCACACTGTTTTTTCCTCTAACCCATGTGCAACTTAGACAAAATGCATTTATGCAGAATATATTTTTTATGGATTTGAATAATCTAATGTAAAAGTAAAATTACTCATTACAATATCGATAGAGAATAATATATTTGAGGAAATGACATGTTGATGTGTCTCATAACAATTAAAAAAAAATTTTTATTTTGAAAGTTGAAGCCAAAGTCAAATAAAATATAAAATCGATATGTCATACCCTCAAAAATATTGTCCTTACGAGGACGCCACACCTGCATGTGTTGTCTTCGTCTTTCAAGTGCGTAACATGGCAAATT